AACTATCTCCAATATAAAATTTTAAAAAAGAAATGCAAAAAAAAGGAACAAATAAGAACTTATAATTCAGATATGAAAAGACAAACAGTTCAATTAAACATGGTAATAAGAAACAAGACACTTCAATAAAATACACAAATGGTAAATACACACAAAAAGATGGTCAATATCATTAGCCTTTAAGGAAATTAAAATTAAAACCACCATGAGATACCACTACATACGTACAAGAACAGTTAAATAGTTTAACTTGACAATACCAAGTGTCAGTGAGGACATGGAATAGCCAGAACCCTCATACAGTGCTTGTAGGAATGCAACTCTGAAAAACAGCTTTGCAGTTTCTCATAAAGTTAAACACAGATGTACCATATGATCCAGCAACAGTTCCTCTCTTGGGAATTTACTAAAGAAAAATGAAAAAAAAAAAGGCTATATGCAAATGTTTATACCAGCATCATTCATAATAGTAAAAAAATTGAAACAACGCAATGTCTATCAAAAATTTAATGGATAAACAAATTAGGCTTATCCACATAACAGAATACTATTCAGTAATGAAAAGAATAAACGATATGGATGACTCTCAAAAGTATTACACTAAGTGGAAGAAGCTGGACACAAAATGACTATATATTGTATGGTTTTATTTATATGAAATTCTAGAAAAGGCAAATCTCTGGTGACAGAAAGCAGATCAGTGGTTTTGCTAGATGCCAATGGTGGGCAGAGAGAACGAATTACAAAGATGCACAAGGAAACTTTCTGTATTAACTGAAATATCCTATATCATGATTGTGTGGTAGTTATACAAATATATATACTTATCAAAACACATCAAACTGAACACTCAAAATTAGTGAATTTTATTTTATGTAAATTATAACTTAATGAAGGTATCTTTTTAAAAAGTGTTTAAAGAAGATTTTTAAAAATATTAACCAAGTTATACATGTATGTGCAACATGTACCAAACCACAGACATCTCAACAGTGATGTCTTAGAATTTTATAAACTTGGTCTTGTTACTGCCGTGCAAAAATCATTCCATGTATGATACAAAGTTTGTAAAACAACTACTATTGGTGCAAAAGAATGGAGCAGAGATAAGAACAGGATGGGATGCTATGTCTGAAGAAGTCAAACGGCATTAATGTCACCATTCGGCAAAGATCCATGATACTGACAAGGAGAATTAGTTTGTGCTCGACATCCATCATTTCATCATCTGGAATATCCTACTTTCGAAGTTAAACAAGAAATCTTGTCTCTTGGCAACTGATACAAGCCCTAATAGTGGCAGATAAAGCACAACTGTCCAAGTAGTGCTACAATTTTAAAAGTAACAAGGAACACAAAGATGCCTTTGCAGGTCATCTCACATTCAAAGATAAAGCCATCTTCCACTAGAGTGGAGGGATGAACTGTCACAGTATACAACTGTGGGATGCTGCCATAACAGAACGTGTAAGAGATTCAGTAAAAATTCATATCTTTTAAATATATTTGATCTATTTATTACTGCTTGTCCCCACTAGAACAATGACACTCCATCATGACAGGGATTTTTGTTTTTGCTGTTCACTGCTGTATCCCTAGCACCTAGAACAATGCCCAGCATACAGAAATTGCTCAATAAACATTTGCTAAATGAATATATTATGCCTATGTAGTCAGTAAATATCTATACAAATTTATTATGTCAATATAGATACCAATCACAGCTAATTGATGTAATAGCCTTCTCTTACATTTCTTTTCTTGTACAATTTCTTTGACTGGAAATTAATAACTATCTTGTTTCTTCACTCACTTTCTTTCTAAATACCAATTCAAATATAAACTTTCAATCTACAAATAATAAATACTGTAGAGGATGTGGAGAAAAGGGAACACTCCTGCACAGTTGGTGAGAATGTAAAGTGGTACAGCCACTATGGAAAACAATATAGAGATTCCTTAAAAAATTAAAAATAGTTATCATATGATCCAGCAATCACACTCCTGGGCATATATCCAGAAAAGATGAAAACTTTAATTTGAAAAGATGTATGTACACCAATGGTCATAGCAACACTATTTACAACAGCCAAGACATGAAAGCAACCTAAACGTCCATTGACACATGAATGGATAGAGATCTGGTACGCCCAATGGATATTACTTGGCCCATACATAGAATGAATTTTTTCCATTTGAAGCAACATGAATAGATGTAAAAGTTATCATACCAAGTGAACTAAGTCAGACAGAGAAAGACAATTAAGTGAATTTATTCACAAAACAGACACAGACTAACAGACATAGAAAACAAACTTTTGGTTACGAAAGGTGAAGGGGGAGAGAAGAATAAATTAGGAGTACGAGATTAGCATATACACACTACCATATTTAAAACAGAAAAGCAACAAGGATTTACTGTATAGCACAGGAAACTATATTCAATATCTTGTAATAACCTGTAATGGGAAGATAATCTGAAAAATATATATATATAACTGAATCACTTTGTCATATACCTGAAACTAACATGATACTGTAAATCAAGTGTGCTTCAATTTTAAAAAAATAAACTTTCAAACAAGGAGATTTTTATTTCTCCTTTATATATTTCTTTATTCCATAAGTTTTCTACAGTATATCTGTGTTTATGTGTATTCAGAATAAAAAACATTTTTAATGTTATGCATTTTTATAAAATTAGAGCTTTTGGAAAACAATATTTTAAATGTTAATAAATACATATCTATCAATGATTACTTTAAATTTCAGTGAACTAAGTGCTCCAATAAAAGATACAGAGTGGCAGGCTGGATATAAAATAAGAGCCTACAATATGTTGCCTATTAGAGACCCATTTTAGGGTGAGGGAAACCCATAAACTGAAAGTGAGGAAATAGAAAAAGATACATTTCACGCAAACGGAAATGACAGGAAAGCAGGGGTAGCAATATTCACATCAGACAAAACAGACTTTAAAACAAAGGCCATTAAAAGACTTAAACATCAGATATGACACCATAAAACTCCTAAAAGAGAGCACAGGCAAAATATTCTCTGACATAAATCGTAGCAATGTTTTCTTAGGTCAGTCTCCTAAGGCAATAAAAATAAACAAATGGGACTGAATCAAAGCATTAAAAAATGAAAATACAACCTATGGAGTGGGAGAAAATATTTTCAAATGATGCAACCAACAAGGGCTTAATCTCCAAAATCTACCAACAGATAATATAACTCAACAACAACAAAAAACCAAACGACCCAATTTAAAAACAGACATTTCTCCAAAGAAGACAGACAGATAGCCAGACACGTGAAAAAGATGCTCAGCATCACTACTTATTAGAGAAATGCCAAAGCAAAACTACAGTGAGGTATCACTTCACACTAGTCAGAATGGCCATCATTAAAAAGTCAACAAATAACAAATGGAAGAGAGAGTATGGAGTAAAGGGAATCCTCCTACACTGTTGGTGGGAATGTAAGTTGGTGCAACTATTAAGGAAAACAGTATGGAGGTTCCTCAGAAAACTAAAATATAGAACTACCATATGATCTAGCAATTCTACTAAAGGGTACTTGCACCCCTATGTTCATAGCAGCCAAGACATAACAGAATATTACTCAGCCGTAAGAATGAAATTATGCCATTTGCAGTAACATGGATGAATCTAGAGATTATTATACTAAGTGAAATAAATCAAATATCATAAATCACTTACATGTTGAATCTAAAATATAAACGAACTTACAAAACAGACTCACAGACATAGAAAACAAACTCATGGTTACCAAATGGGAAAGATGAGAGGATAAATTAGGAGTTAGGGATTAGCAGATAAAACTACAATATATAAAACAGATAAAGCACAAACATTTATTGTATAGCACAGGGAATTATTAGGTTGGTGCAAAAGTAACTGCAGTTTTGCACTGCTGAACTTTGCCATTTGATATTGGAATGTTTTGCACTGCTGAACTTTGCCATTTGATATTAGAACACATTCTTAAGTAAATGTGGTTATGTTATACATCATTTTAATGTGCATTTCTTGCTCCAAGTTTTTTGCTAATGACTTACTGAAGTGGAAGTGAACATGTTAGTCACTTGGTCATGTCTGACTCTTTGCAACTCCATAGACTGTAGCCTGCCAGGCTCCTCTGTCCAGTGAATTCTCCAGACAAGAATGCTAGTCTGGGTGGCCTTTCCCTTCTTCAGGGGATCTTCCTGATCAAGGGATTGAACCTGGGTCTCCTGCATTGTAGGCAGATTCCTTACTGTCTGAGCTACCAGGCAAGTATTCTTGCCTGGAGAATTCCCTGGACAGAGGAGTCTGGTGGGCTACAGTGCATGGTGTCGCAGAGTCAGACATGACTGAGCAACTTTCACTTTCATTTTTCAGTGACTTATTATTTGTGTTTTTTTTCTATTTATTTTAGACTATAGAACTGATGTAAGACAAAAAGCAAATTCGAGCAAATTATTTGAGTTCAAAATGGGTTGTAAAGCAGCAGAGACAACTTGAAACATCAACGACGCATTTAGCCTGATGCACTGGTGGTTCAAGAAGTTCTGTAAAGGAGATAAGAGCCTTGAAGATGAGAAGCATAGCAGCAGGCCATCAGAAGTTGACAATAACCAACTGAGAACAAGTCGGTTACTAAACAACAATTCCTCTGCACGTGTTCTTTATCTAGAAAACTCTCCATCCATTTCTCTATAAGTCTAAACTGTCTTCAACCCAATCTCCCCAATGAAGAATCCTTTATAATACTGATTAATCTTAACCCTTTGATCCACTTTGGCTCCCAAGAAAACCTTAAAATCCCTTTAATAGCAGGAAATACTATGTCTTTTTATTTCTGTTATAGAACATTCAATAAATGCTTAATTTGTTGAACCTGAGAAATTTCAATGAGACTGAAGAACCTTAAGGATACAAAATTAATGGTAAGCTTACAAAGAAATATATGCATATTATATGCATAAAACCTACCAACAGTGTCTGTCCTTGGGAAATGAAGAAATGCCCCGATATAACTATGGTGAGAACAAGATGCCCAGATTCTTCACTGGAGTCAAAAACCTTGAAAAAGAAAGAGAAAAATGTATTTAAGATGTTTCTGTCAGTTAGTTCTGATAGTTAAAACCAAACTATCTTCTCACATTGATCTTCCAATCTAAATGTTCCCTTTCAACCTCATTTAATGTGTAATCATTCCCCTATAGTTTCAAGTTTCTCCTCGTACAGGGATTAATAACCAAGCTTTTTAAAAAATACAACTAAAACCAATATTTTGAAACAACAATATTAAATCAGGAATTGAGACAAATGGTGCCTGAGACAACCACTTTTGAGTTACATTTTAATAAATCATTATTTTTGAGCCTGAATTTCCTTTCTGTAACATGGGAATAATACTTTACAAGTTGTTGTCAGAATACAAGTTGTTGTCTGTTTTTTCAGCTATATACTCCAGTTCCATAACCCCTCAAAATCTGGTGCTTTTCTTGAGATGAGATTTAATTTGTAATGTCACTCTTAAAAACAGGGTACCCCAAACTGACCATACTACTCTTGGTGCGATTTCATCATCTCCCATTACTTGCATAATGAAGCCTACTATTTCACATTAATCTTGGGAGGGGTAATTCCACTGAAGAGTGATCCTATCAACAAAACATCCTGAAACTTCATCATCTATGTTGGTAAATCACACTTTCACTTTCTTCATCTGAACCTAAACATAAGACCATGCATTTACTCTCATTATATTTTATATTGCTAGATATATTCTAAAGTTGTGGTAGAGAGTTGAGACAATTAAAGCAAAATAACTCATAGATACTCAAGATTTCCTACTGACTTTTCTCTCAGTTCAGTTCAGTTGCTCAGTTATGTCCAATTCTTTGTGACCCCATGGACTGCAGCACACCAGGCTTCCCTGTCCATCACCAACTCGCGGAGCTTACTCAAACTCATGTCCATTGAGTCAGTGATGCCATCCAATCATCTCATCCTCTGTCGTCCCCTTCTTCTCCTGCCTTCAATCTTTTCCAGCATCAGGGTCTTTTCTAGTGAGTCAGTTCTTCACATCAGTGGCCAAAGTACTGGAGTTTCAACTTCAGCATCAGTTCTTACAATGAATATTCAGGACTGATTTCCTTTAGGATAGACTGGTTGGATCTCCTTGCAGTCCAAGGAACTCAAAAGAGTCTTCTCCAACACCACAGTTCAAAAACATCAGTTCTTCACCATCAGCTTTCTTTATAGTCTAACTCTCACATCCATACATGACTACTGGAAAAACCACAGCTCTGACTAGACAGACCT